GGCCCATAATGGCTGGTGACAGTTCCACCGCGACCTGCTGAAAGCAATATCGACGTGAATTAAGTAATAACGTCGTGGAGCTGCGGATTCCGCGCCGATGTAATTTCTCGCATAAACATCCGGCATCCAATTATGCGGCAATGCAATTTCCCGTGCAACCAGCCTCGCTGCATCTTCTCCACCTCCTCTTCTTCCTCTTCTTCTTCTTCTTCTTATACTGAGGGTGGTTGAACTACGTCGTGTCGGAGATTTGCTCATTTATTATTAAACCTGCTTACTTTATTCAGGTACATTATTTTTGAAGCAGTTTATAGATAGAATATTGAAAATAATACTTCTCGTGATGGATAGTTGTCACTGCTTTTAGAAGGGATTATGCATTGTCGGGTGTTTTTCGAACCTGTGCTCTATAGGGTGATTCAAAAGATACCGGATGTAAATTGTATATCAGTTCATGACTACACTGTCTCGCGTTCAATTTCACAAGTTCACCGATATAATATACGTATGTGTATGTAGGTTAATTCACACTTCAGGCCTAAGCATAGGTACAATTCGTGTCAGACAATATCCAAGTTTAAGGTTCCGACGCGTCTTCACGTTGATCCCCGAAGTTGGATCGACCTATAGAACGAACGTACCAACCAACGTGATAAGCAGAGGATAGAATTTTGGCGATAAGGAATCCGTGGAATGCTGCTCGGGCGTTCCAAACCGGTGGAGATAGCCGTTGAAGCGAATCAACAAGTTATTTGTAACGCCATTTCGTCCCGGTTTGCGCAGGATTGTAGTTGTTCTCACGGTTGATCGATCTCCCGGGGAATTTATCATCGTGGTACACACGAACACAGAGAGACAGAAAGAGAGAGAATCGCGGGAGGGAGGGAGAGTACAGTGGTCCAGCTAGTCGAAGTTGTCGATACCGCTTCGATCCGAAGTTCTCACGCCGCTTGTGTTACCCTTTCAATCAACGTAATTGCAGTTCGATCAAGTTCGAGCTCGAGCAAACTGCGACAATGTCCTTTAACTACAGGCTCTTTCAAAAATCGATCGCGGTGGAGTACAATAGAAATACCACTTTGTGTTGTGGATGGCACGTTAGGTAGTCAAAGTGCCACTCGTAAAATTTAGATATCGTTGGTTCGTTATACAGGTAGTTTCATATTTCAGATCTCGGGGAGTCTAGAGATGATCCGTCGTCCGAACGCTGCTACAATTCCGTATCACGCACGTTGTTACAATACCTCGTGTCTCGCTGAAAGTACTCGTCGTTTGAAACACCTTGTATACTTTCAAAATAATACCCGTGTCAAAAACATCGCGCCTAGAATTCACCACACACCCTTTATCATCGATGTTCATATCTATTCGATTGACCGACTAGTTAGATTTAGCAAATCGTATTAGAATCACTCCAGACACTATTCCACTACTCTCCTCTACTACCCGTTCTACGTACGTCGTACAAAAACATCCCCTAGACTTATCGAAATCGCCAAAAATCACCATTCACCGACACCCTAAACACCCTCAAGTCAATCAATACCGGACAATCTTCATTCCACGATCGTC